TAGTGTTATCGATCTACATTAACGTGGTGTTATCGATCTACATTAACGTGGTGTTATCGATCTACATTAACGTGGTGTTATCGATCTACATCTACATAGTGTTATCGATCTACGTACGTTTTTCAATAATCTTCATATAACTATTTTCTTTGTTACTTTCCTTCCCTGTTCAGGCTTCGTAGATCTTGAACTATGTGGACACTTCGGTATTCATTTTTTTTCATTTTTCATCACTCAATCACTTACCACTGAAGACACCTGAATAGAACCAGGACATTGCATGTGATATGCACAGAACATAAAACAACATACTCATGATGACATTTATTCATTCCGACTTCTATTCAGTCTTAGACTTTCTGTGAACGTGCGTAGCATGCTTGTCACATGACTGACTATCATATTTGTTTCAGATATTTGGATGCGTCTCCTGTGTGCCACCGGTTTTATCGCCAGCAGTCGTCCACGTGTGTTTTGTCGGATGTGACTCGTTAGGTGAGTGCATCATTTTATCTGTATTTTATTGTTATGCATTTGATTATCAATTAATTATTTAAACATAGCTCATTATCGGCTTGTATAATGGCAGAGATGTATGCAGATTAATAGAGAAATTTAAAAAAAAACGGCAACAACCTTTTTTTAGGGTAGCTAACCGTAAAAGGTTGCAACATGAAACCTTGATATTAATATGAAACACATGTCACTAACTTATCTATGCCAGTGTAACAGCGGTAGATTCGGGCTACTATGCGAACGACATACAGCTGATTAGCGGCAGTGTAACAACGGTAGATTCGGGCTACTATGTAACAAGGGTAGATTCGGGCTACTATGTAACAAGGGTAGATTCGGGCTACAATGCGTGATTCGGGCTACTATGCGAACGACATACAGCTGATTCACGGCAGTGTAACAACGGTAGATTCGGGCTACTATATGCGAACGACATACAGCTGATTCGCGGCAGTGTAACTGTTGTACAAATATATATATGACCTAGGCCTACCTTCTGTACGACATATAGCTGATTCACGGCAGTGTAACTGTTTAACATATGTATATCTGACCTAGGCCTACCTTCTGTACGACAAACAGCCGATTCAAGGCAGTATAACTGTTTAACATATGTATATCTGACCTAGGCCTTCCTTCTGTACGACAAACAGCCGATTCAAGACAGAATAACTGTTTTACATATGTATATCTGACCTAGGCCTACCTTCTGTACTGTAATATTTACAACAGACGCCATGATTGTCAGACCGGAAAACTCCTCTATTGACTCCAGATACAGAAGAGTTCCAATACTGAGTTGTACTAAAAACCACTGAAGACAGGCATATAATACTGACACAGGCTGAATACATTACACCCTTCCCTTTATAAATGAGATAATTAACCAACAAATACTGTAGCAAGTATTTAATTAATCATAAACTCTTTGTGTCCATTATTATAAAGTCTCTGTATCCTTCATAATCTATAACTATACTGGCATTTGTACAAAATTAATTATAACAACTTATTAAAATGTTCTCCACATCTAAAAGTTCCTGTGATTCATTATTTCTAGTTTGAAATGAAGTTATTAAAACGAGCACAGTCCATAATTTTGATTAGAAAACTATTAATACATTTGTTTTCAATTTTCACACTCATCATCATAACAAAACTGAAAGTCTGTCCAAATTTATAAACACAGTTCAGTCACGGTATCGTGCTGGGATATTAATGGCACGTCCACTACGGGTGACTTTTGGTAATGGTTCGGAAGGATCCATCTTTTGTCCAGAAATTGGAGGCGTCGTAACAACCTCTCGTGTGTCGTTACGGACTATGACTTCCTGATGAACTGGGTCTGGAGCGCGTTCAAGGTCGCGTCTTGGGTAGTCGTAGACTGGATCATAGTTCATAGTCCTACTGTCATATGTTTGATCGACTTCAGCACGCGCACGTGTTTGCTTCAAGTACCTCCTATTTCGACGATACTTTCTTCCGTTGCTTTCCACAACGTATGAGCGCGGAGTGGTATGTTGACGCTCGACAATACCAGCCTCCCAAGTTCCTTTTGCGGGGTGTTTGACCATGACATGGTCTCCTGGGTCTAGTGGTTTGAGGGGCTTTTGCATGGCATGTTTGTTAAAGTTCTCCTGTTGCCTCGCTTGGCGCAATTTGAGACTCACATAGATTTGAGTATTTGCATTGGTCGTCAACAAGGGTGCTGTCGCAGGTAATGGAGTTTTCAAGCGACGTCCTAAGAACATCTGAGCTGGCGACATTTCAACACCATCAATCCTGGTATTTCTATACTCCAGCAAGGCCAAGTAAGGGTCCTTCGCTTTGAACAACAGTCTTTTCACTGTCTGAACCATTCGCTCCACTTGTCCATTGGATTGCGCATGATATGGACTAGTTGTTGTGTGTTCAAAACCATACTCGCGTGCAAATTCACGGAATTCTGCGCTTCCAAACTGGGGTCCGTTGTCGCTCATTACTTCGTCTAGTATCCCGTACTTCGCGATCATACATTTTACATGTACAATGACGGATTTCGTCGTAATCGATTCCAGCTTTTGCACTTCTGGCCATTTTGCGAATTATTCAACGGTGAGAAGGTAATGATAGCCTTTGAATTCAAACAGGTCCATTCCAAGTTTTGACCAGGGTCTTCAGGGCAGGTCATGCACGATCATTGGCTCCTTTGGATTCGCGTTTTGTTGTTTCGCACAGATATCACACTCGCTTACATAGTTTTCAATATCTTTAGACATTCCAAGCCAAAAGAGAATCTCCCTGGCGCGATCTTTACACTTTACTATGCCGAGGGGTGCAGAGTGAATTTTCTCCAGCATGTATCCTTTTAAGGTTCTCGGAACGATTACTTTGGGAGATTTAAACAGAATGCCGTCGACACACGATATCTCGTCACGTATGTTCAGATATGGCCTCATAGTTGGCGATACACTAAGTCGGTCATTCGGCCAACCTTCTAAGACAGTATCCATAAGTAATTGAAGTTCCTGGTCGTTTGTCGTTTCCTTTTGTAGGCGGACAAACATTTCCGGCATGATTGGTAAGTATGCAGTCAAGTGCACCCCGTTGACTTGTAGCTTAGGTACGAGCTGTTCTGTGGTTTCCCTCAAATACGACCGACTGAGGTGATCCGCAAGAAACATTTCTTTTCCCGGTTTGAAGACCACTTCAATGTCATATTTTTGAAGAGCTAGAATTAGTCTTTGAAGTCTTGGCGGCGCACTGAGTAGTGTTTTTTTGAAGATACTTTGCAATGGCTTATGGTCCGACTCTACTTTCACGCGTTGACCATATACGTAATCGTGAAACTTTTCACAACCATAGAGGATAGCTAACGTTTCCTTCTCGATCTGAGAATAGCGTTGTTGTGTTTCTGTTAGGGCTCGCGATGCGTATGCCACAGGTTTTTCTTCTTGGATTATCACTGCTCCGAGTCCTTTCAAACTTGTGTCTACTGAGAGTGTGATTGGTTTGATTGGGTCAAAGTATTGAAGAATAGGCGTATGAATGGCCATTTCTTTAAGCTTGGTGAAGCTGTCCTCTTGTTATTTCTCCCAGAACCAGGCAGTATTTTTTCCAACAGTACTCGCATCGGACTACTTACATCTGGCATTTTTGGCATAAACTTCCCAAGGTACTGGATAAAACCCATAAAGGTTTGTAGTTCTTTGACGTTTGACGGGCGTTCCATCTCAACTATGGCACGAATTTTCTCAGGATCTGGTTTGAGACTTTTACTTGTGAATCGATGACCCACATAGGTAACCTCAGGTTGACCTATTTCACATTTTCCCAAACTTAGTTTCAGACCGTATTCTCGGGCACGTTCTAGTACCGCAGCGAGCCGTTGGTCATGCTCCTCTTGGGTAACACCCCAGATTAGGATGTCATCAATGATGGCTTCTGTACCATCAATATCGTGCACCATTTCAGAAATGGCTCGTTGAAACACCTCTGGTGCAGAATTTACACCAAACGGAAGTCGCATAAATCTGTAGCGTCCAAATGATGTGTTGAACGTACAGAGCTTGGAATTATCATTATCAAGACGCATCTGCCAAAATCCAGATGTTGCATCTAATTTGCTAAATATCTTAGCACCGGGCATCATAGCAGCAACTTCTTCGACTGTTTTGAGGGGGAAATGTTCTCTCTGAATTGCCTTATTTAGGTCGCGAGGGTCGATGCACACTCAAATTTTCCCATTTGGCTTTGTGACCGTCACCATTGATTTCACCAACTTTGTTGGGTCCGTTTGTCGGATGATAACACCAATGTTTTCCATCCGGTCGAGTTCAGCTTTTACTTTTTCCTTTATCGCGAATGGAATACGCCTTGGAGCGTGCACGACTGGTGGTATTGATGGGTCTACCTTTATCGTGTAGGTTCCCGGCAAGCATCCTAGGCCATGAAACACATCAGAATACTCTGGAGATATTCCCTTGGGCACGGATTGTGTTTCTTGTTTGATTGAGTAGATACGTTTCACCAGATTTAAGTGCTCGCAGTCCTTTGATCCTAACACTGGTTGAGCATCTATGTCCACTACATAAAACAAAACATCTACTGTTCTATCCTTATACGTACAGGGGAGAACCACACTTCCCTTACTCTTAATGGTATGGTTAGAGAAAGAGCGGAGCGACATTTGTGTAGGGTTTATCACAATGTTCTTGTCAATTTGTTGTAGAACACGAGACGGTATCACGTTACATTTGGCGCCAGTGCCTAACAGAAAGTTTATTGGCGTTTTACATACATTAACACTTTCTGGTCACTTGTTCTCCTCGTATAACCCATTTATATCCAGGTTGTCAGTATATAGTAAACCCAAAAATAAATCATCGTCATCATCAGATACGTCTACAGTATGAACATGTTTGTGCTTCCTCTGTTTCTGTTTTGAGTGTTGATTTGGACCTTTGGACAAGCATTTGTTCGCGAAGTGATTCATCTTACCACACGCATCACAGTTTTTCCAAATGCTGGACATTGTTTGTATCCATGGTGTCGTCCACAGTTTCTACGGTCATAGGTATGAGACCTACCATCCCCTCTGACATGACTGTTTTTGGTTTGTTGTTGTTGGTGAGGCTTGTGTGGGCCACGAGCTTGTTTGGGGTTGTTCTTTTTAGTGATAGCATGAACAGTTTTATCTTCAATACATTTCACTTGTTCTTTTGACAATTCAAATGTTCTCGAGTAATTCACAGCCTTTTCCAGTGTGAGGTCCGACCCTTCATAGATGCATTTCGCTCTGACTTTATGATCCTTTGTCCCAAATACTATTGCATCCCGAATCATATCATCTTCTTCTGGACATCCACAGTCTTTAGCAAGTAATTTCAGATCAGTTAGAAATTTTTCAAACGTCTCAGTTTCTTTCTGAGCTCGGCTGAGAAACCGATATCTCGAATATACGCGGTTTGTTCTCGGTTTCACGCGTTTTTCAAATTGACGTTTGAGATGGTCAAACGACTTTTTCTCCTCCTCGGTCAGTGTCCATGTTGAATATATGTCGCTGCCCTTACCTCCGATCCAGATCATTAAATAGTTACATTTCTCTTCTTCAGATTTTGTACACATAGGTCCTGCAAACCAGAACTCTGCATGTTGAATGAAGGTTCTCCATTCCTCCACAAGGTCCGTCGTCTCCCAGTTAAATTTGGTTGAGCAGTTCATATTACCCGTTTCCATCGTTATTGGCAGGTTTTCAGCTTTTGATTTATGTGTTGTTTACCCGTCGATGACCGGTTATGTGAGCGATGCAGCTCGATTATTCTGACACCATATAATATTTACAACAGACGCCATGGTTGCCAGACCGGAAAACTCCTTTATTGACTCCAGATACAGAAGAGTTCCAATACTGAGTTGTACTAAACACCACTGAAGACATGCATATAATACTGACACAGGCCGAATACATTACATATACGACAAACTAACTGGTTTATGGCAGTGTGGCTGTGGTACATATGTATATCTGGCCTAGGCCTACCATCTGTACGACAAACTAACTGGTTTATGGCAGTGTAACTGCGATACATATGTATATCTGGCCTAGGCCTATGTTCTGTACGACATACAGCTGATTCACGGCAGTGTGACAATTGTACATATGTAACGACAAACTAACTGGTTTATGGCAGTGTCGCTGCAGTACAACTGACCTACTTCACGCACGATATACTAAACGGTTTACGGCAGTATAACTGCAGTTCGACTGCCCTACTTTTTGTACGACATACAAAACGGTTTACGGTATGGTTACTGTTGTAATGTCTTCTTTATCTTTTAAAACCTTATTACAGAGAAGGAGTTGGCAATGAATGGATCTGAATCCTATTGATCCTATCAACCTGACATTAGTACTTGTCCTCGTAACATTGCTACTAGATTCGCGGTCGAATAACTATAATTAGGCTCTAATTAGCTATCATTTCGGCTAACAGCTTTCATTACGATGACGACATTGATGATAACCCTTGCCGTTTTGTGATTAACTGATCCGTCACTGTACTAAAAGTGAATGTTAATCCGCTACACCACGCGATAGCACACAAGGTCATCCAAAGAAGGTTTAGTGAATGTAAATCTAAGATCAATAATTTTGGATACAAGCGCCTTTTTTGTAAATTTAACAATTCGTATATAGCAAATGGAAGACTAGGTGATGATAAAAATGTTGGTAAGGTTACTTGCAATAATTCAACTGTCATTGATTATGTGTTGTTATCTTCAGATCTGTTCAAACTAGTTAAGAATTTCAAACTTATTGATTTCAACCCATTAATATCAGATGTCCATTGTAGTATTGAACTCGTCTTTCATGGAATTAATAATGAAAATAACAGCCACGGTAACCCGAGCTCTAATAGCATGTCTTATGTCAAATGGAACTGTGAGAAAAGTAATATATTTGTAGACGTAATAAAAAACGATAATGAAGATGGCGTAAACAAAATTAGTGATACATTAAAACAACTCCATGATACACCCGTGGACCAAATTAATAAAACCGAACTTAACGACATTGTGAGTCGAATAGGTAACCTCTTCACAAGGTCGGCTGATAAGGCGTTCGGTAAAAGATATCCAGACATGCGCAAGAGTAATAAATGTACAACTAATAAACCATGGTATACTGGGAAATGTAGAAAACTGAGAAATGAGTTTCACTTGGCTAAGAGTAAGTATAGATAAGTGAAAAATTAGTGAGTATTTCAAAAAGCTGAACAATTCAAATGATACCGGGATGATGATAAGATATATATTCCCGAACAAGAAAATAATACTTTTTACCAAATACTAGACGAAGATATTTCAGAGGAAGAGATTAAACATGCGGTAAATAATTCAAAACATAATAAAGCATGTGGAAATGATTACATTTTAAATGAGCATATCAGTTGGAATAATTAAGCCTATTTATAAAAATAAAGGAGAAACTTGCGAC